CTTGGTTAATCAATGGGTCACCAGCTATGATGTTTACTTCTTATGGGTATTTCTTCACAAAAACCTGAAGACAACAATTCTTGCTACTGTATCTTTCAACACTTTCTACAGCAACTCCTTCAGAGATATTTTAATGAAATGCCAATTAATCATAACCTGGCTTCCTTGATGGTCTGGTGTAATATTGAGTGCAATTTTTGTTCTGGCATGACACTACCACATTCAGAAGTACAACTTTAGCAAAAGCAGAAGCGCTTTCAACTTTCTTCAGAAGATAATTTCTAGAAATTCAACCAGCAAAAAAAGAACTTGCTGAAAATATGTTTCTTCAATTTCACAGAAAATATTTCTGGAAAAGTTCTAAAACGTGAATGGTTCAACAAACCCATGCACAGAGAACAAGTTGTATAACATTTATCTAAAGATTGTTTAAAAAAATAACATCTCTTGAAACAACTGGCAAGTCCCTTTCAAAATTTCAGAGAACTTTTCATTTTCTCTCTCGCTTTTCTGCTTTTCATTCCTTCCTTTGATATTGTTTATGTTGATTGCTCCTATTATGCAAAAAAATATAACTGTCTAATTTTTTTACTCTTTCATTTCGGACAAAAGTTGTATTTTATGCCGAAAAGAAAAGTTTTGCCAATATTTTTCTCCAAATCTTTATAAAATTTTAAATTTTGCATTTACTTCTACAACAGAAAAAAGACATTGGTGCTGCTTAAATAAAATATTTGGAGTATTTTGCATTTTTTTTTTTAGATATGTCCCAGAAAAACATGGCATACTCCAAATATTTTAACCACTTTTCATACTATTTCAAATGAAAACAGTAAAAGAGATTTTAATGTTTTCATAATTCTGTTCATGATTGTTGGAAAAAAGATTATTATGAAGCATTGGAGAAAATAAAATATTTTTTTTCAAATAAATATTTTCAAATAAAGGAAAAGGACTGAGGAGGTTTATTTTAACTTAGCTTTGGTTTTTCAGATACAAAAGAAATGGTCTTAAACATTATTAGTTATTTCAGTGATGTCAAAACATGGGGAGTACCTCTGAACAATATTTGGATAGAGTGTCTTAGCACTTAGTAGCCAAGTCAATGAAACCTTATATCAATAAGGTGTGTCAGTTGGTAGCTAGCTTGTAATAAAATATGGCCAACACGGAGCTTGGATATATTGAATGTTTTTTTATGCATCACTTGTCCTGGCAACAAGGCATTTGTGTTATTATTTCTATGGATACGCTAACAATTTCTTTGTGTGAATGTATAACCTGTTTTTATTGTTGTCCGTTTCTTACCAAGTATAAAAAGAAAACGTATCTATAAAAAAAAAAAATAAATAATTAAATTATATCACCTTGAGCATTACTGTTGATGTAATTCTGTGTGGGTTTGTAATAAAATGTACAAAGTTTAGGACAATGAAGTCATATAAGATGTCGAAATTTTTAAAAATTTGCCCGTTTTGTACAATAAAGATTTACATAAACTTCAGTAAGAAAAGTAAATTGATTACTTTCTAATAATTTTCATATTTTTAAATAAAATAAAATAATAATCTGTATTAATAAACACTCACATGAATGGTTGTAATGCATCCAGCAAAAAGACAGGTAAAAACTCAAAATGGCAAGACTTACTGACGTTTAAGGTAAGTTGAAACGACGAGTGGGTCAGCCAATTTGTATTGGTTATAAATAGAAATAAAAAATGACCCTCTACAATTTTTACAATATCAAATGTAACAAAGAAAACAACAAGAGAAATAATCAAGTAGAAGAAAATGTGAATTTTGTTCAAGAATAAATATTTTTTTATAAACACAACAAATACATAATATATAGTGCAAAAGTTGATTAAACACAATAGAGTTCTTTGGTGTGTGTGTTACTGAAATAATTTTGAGCTACTGTACTGTATGTGTGAAAATGACAAGGTTTAGTTAGCTATATTTGTTTTTATAGGAAAATTAAACAGATGTTTTTTTGTGTATTAAATAGAAAAAAAAAGTATTGTTCTTGATTCACTGATTGTTATCGCTCATTAACCAGAGATTCTTGTGGAATGGAATATTTTGTGGGAGTGAGCGGTAAGCCTGGAGATGATTGAGAAAGTTTGTTGTTGTATTGAAGATAAAGTTCGTCTCCTTTGCTGTGTTGATTTCCAATGAAGTCAAGTGAATTGGTTTCAATATTTTAAGTGCCCACTGACCAAGTCGCGTCGAAGTTTCGTTTTTATTAGTTCTCTTGGTCAGGTGAGGTGGCTCGTAAACATGTTTACATTTTATGGCGTCAACTAGAGGTCAAAATACATCAGTTGTTATATTTGGCTGGGAGCCTCTATGTGTTTAACTTGCACAAAATTTAAGATTTAAAAAAATGTTGGAATCTGATTCTACAATAACCCCCCCGCAGATTGTGAAAGTTTTTGAGAGAAAATTTTCTCAATATGTAATATACGTTTTCTACTAGGCCAATGAACATGTCTGCCAGACTTAGTAGTAACTTCCGCGGGTGGTACTGAAGGTGCAAGCTGCGCTGGATGGGTCGAAGATGTTAGCTCAGGGTTAGGAAGCGATTTATGAGATAAATCGATGTAAGCCGGTTTCAACCGGTCGACTGACACTGTGTTAGGCTTTCCGTGCAAAAGTAAAGTAAAATGCTTGGACGTTCTATTAATTACTTTATGTGGACCAGAATACGTGGGGTTAAGGGTCTTCTAACTGCATCTTTTCTCAGGAAGACGTAATCACAACTGTCTAAATTTTTTCGGCATAAAGAACTCCCTCGTTTGGGCACGCGTTGGAGTAAAAGCTAGGTTTTCCATTTTTTGTTTAAAATCCTGGACGAAATAGGTAGTCGGTCTGGAAGGAGTATGCTTTTCCACGAACTGTCCAGGGAGTGTTAGCGTACTCCCAAAAACTAGTTCTGCTGTAGTGCATCCTAAATCCTCTTTGACTACATTTCTTAATGACAGTAAAATCAGTGGTAGGTTTTCCAGCCAAGTCCTGGAGTCATCACTTGCTGCTAGTGCTGCCTTAAGTTGCCTATGAAATCGTTCCACAAGGCCGTTTGCACATGGATGGTAGGCAGTTGTAGAAATGTGCTTTACGCCTAACAAGTTTATAAATTCATTGAAAAGGACTGACTGGAACTGGGAACCTCTATCAGTGGTTATTATTGAAGTACAACCAAAGATAGAGATCCACTCTCTAAGAATGCACCTGGAAATCGTTTCCGCTGAAATACTTTTTAAAAGAACGGCTACAGGCCAACGAGTGAAACGATCGATTATTGTTAATAAGTATTGGTACCCATCAATGACGGGCAAAGGGCCCACTAAGTCAACGTGAATGTGGGTGAACCTACCATCAGGCTTAGAGAATGTACCAGGCGGAGACTTGGTATGCCGTTGTATTTTAGTTTGCTGGCATTTTAAACAAGTCTGTGTCCAGTGTTTTATGTCACTGGACATTTTTGGCCAAACGAAACGATCACTAATCATCTTAGTAGTCGCTCTTCGACCAGGGTGCGACAGAGAATGGAAATGTTCGAATACTTTTTTCGCAAAGAAGGTGGTACATAGGGCCTGTACTTACATCACAATAGACAGTAGTGTTACCAAATGTCACAGGGTGTTGCTTTAACTGTAGTGACGTTTTTTCTTTTACTGATTCCAAAGTAGTGTCAGTCTTTTGTTCTTCCGCTAAGCAGTCGAAATTCAAGGTCTGTGCGTCAATTGACTGTATCGTTGATCGCGATAGGGTATCAGCTACTATATTGTCAGCCCCTTTTACATAGCGGATATCCGACGTATATTGGGAAATATAATCCAATTGTCGGATATCCCTTGGGGTATATTTGTCCGACTTGGCGTGCAGAGCATAAATTAATGGTTTATGATCTGTATAGACCACAAAATTCCGTCCTTCCAAAAGATGACTGAAATGACGGATTGCCAAGTATATTGCCAGTAATTCCCTTGAAAATGCGCTGTACTTTTTCTGAGATGAGTTTAGCTTGACTGAAAAGAACGAAATAGGTTTTTAGCATCTCCCTGTTCCTGGTGAAGCACAGCCCTATGGAGTCGCCCGATGCGTCTGTTGTCAGTGTGATCATTGAGTCATCATCGGTTTATATGATAACTTCGTAATGTTGGCAAGGGCGTCTTTGGCTCTGTGAAAAGCAGTCAGTGATTCGCCTTCCAAGGTAATCTTTGAGTTCTTCTGACGCTGTTGTTGCAGTAAATCTGTGAGGGGAATCAGAATCTGGGGAACAACCAGGAATGAACCTCCGGTAGTAATTAATGAGGCCTAAGAATCGGCGTAACTGCCGGAGTGAAGTTGGTTGTGAGAAATTTGAAATAGATTCTATTTTCTCAGGTAAGGGCGTTATTCCCTTTTCGTCAATGACGTGTCCAAAAAAATTTAAGCGAGGGCACAGCAAAAATACATTTCTCTGCGTTAATCTTAAGGCCAAAAAATGCTGTAGACGTTGGAAAACTTGTTCAACGTGGTGACGATGTTCAGTCTTGTTTCTACTGGCGATCAGGACGTCATCAATATAGGCAAAAGTGAAAGGTAAACCTCTCAGCACTTCGTCTATAAGCCGTTGGAAAGATTGTGCAGCCTTCCTTAAAGCAAATGGCATTCTCACAAATTCGTATAAGCCAAAAGGAGTAGTTATTGCTGTTTTATGGGTGTCTTCCTTGGCCACTGGTATCTGGCGGAATGCTTTCACCAGATTAAGTTTGGTGAAGACTGTGGCGCCCTGCAGACCCACTGCGAAATCGTGCAAGTGCGGGATGGGGTATTTATCCGGAATTGTAGTAGCATTCAGCTTCCGGAAGTCGCCACAAGGTCTCCAAGCTCCTGAGTCCGGTTTTGGAACCATATGAAGAGGAGATGAGTAAGGACTCGAAGAAGATCTAATTATACCGAGGTCCAGCATGTGCTGAAACTCGTCTTTCGCCAGTTTATATTTATCAGGCCTCAATCGCCGTGGAGATGAATGCGTGGGTGGGCCCGTAGTATCAATGTGGTGCTCAGCATTGTGACGAACGGTTTCTGTATACCGGAATGGTGTTGTAATTTGAGAATATTTTGTAACAGATCCTGCATTCCGTTGGCTTCAGGTACAGTTGCGCTGATACATGTGCTCGTATAAATAGATGTAATTCCTTTCCTTGTAATGTTGGTCGTTTTATCCTCCAAAGAAAGGGAAGACATATTAACGGACAAGTTAAAGTGGGCGAGGAAATCCGCTCCTAGGATTGGGGTTCGAACTTGGGCTATCGTGAATACCCACGGAAAAGATCGCTTAAATCCCAGATTTAGGGTTAAAGAGGTTTCACCATATGTCTGGATTGAAGATCCATTCGCCGCTTGTAACGTATAATCTGTTTTTCTAGTCAACATATTAGGCTTGGCTGGTATTACACTAATTTGTGCCCCAGTGTTCACTAAAAACAAGTAGTCGGAGTTCTCATCTCGGATGTAAAAGAGACGACTTTTTGGCATCCCTCCGGCAGCAAACGTCTCTACTTGTTGCCGGGATAGTCGTTTCCCGACTGCTGTGTGTTGTTATCCTTAGCTGCGTTTATGTCGAAGTTACACGGTTTCGTACAATGCCGCGCTTGTTTTCCATATTTAAAATGATACCAACAGGTATTAAATATAGGCCTGCTTCTGGATGTGGAACGTGATCTTCGCCTAGTATGATGTGATGGACGTGGTCGACTAGTGAAATTGTTGGGTGTGCGATTTTGCTGATGCATAGCGGTTTGTAGAGCTTGTAACTGTGAGGTAAGCTCTGCTATACAATCTTTAATTTTCGATAACTCTTGTGAGTCACGGACTGAAGAGACAATAGGTTGTAGTGGTGTCGCAGAAACAGTTCCCGGAGGTTTATTCTCATATATTTTGTCCGCGATTTCTGCCAATCGCTGTAGGTCCAAATCGTCCGGGAGTGACACTAATATTTGTGATGTTTGTGGGCTCAGTTTATCCATCCATAGTTTACGGAGGACTGTGTCAGACATGGTATTGTCACCTAGTAAAGCTTTAATCTTTCTAAGCAATTGGGAAGGTTTATAGTGTCCCAAATGAAGGTTGTTAAACAAATCGTGCAACCGACGTTCCTCTGATTCGCCCGTGCGGTATAGTATAGCATCTTTCAAAGTATCATACGGTTTCTCCGCCGGCACTTCACTGAGGAGGTCTGCTACCTCTAATGCTACATCTGAGGGAATTTCTCAACTACAAAAGCGTAACGGGCATGTTGAGACGTGACCTTTCTTGCATTAAAAATTGCGTTTAACTGCGCAAACCACACTTGAACGTTGGTGTGGTTGTACGTCGGTAGACTGATGGAAATTGCCACTTCAATATGTTCGCTGGTAGAATTTTCCATTGCTTTCGTTTAAAACGTGACAACTAAAGTATTTCTCTTATAAAATGCTGTTTTTAAAATATTGCTTTGCACATTTGAACTTCGGGGTCACCAATTTATAGTGGGTCAGCCAATTTGTATTGGTTATAAATAGAAATAAAAACTGACCCTCTACAATTTTTACAATATCAAATGTAACAAAGAAAACAACAAGAGAAATAATCAAGTAGAAGAAAATGTGAATTTTGTTCAAGAATAAATATTTTTTTATAAACACAACAAATACATAATATATAGTGCAAAAGTTGATTAAACACAATAGAGTTCTTTGGTGTGTGTGTTACTGAAAGAATTTGAGCTACTGTACTGTATGTGTGAAAATGACAAGGTTTAGTTAGCTATATTTGTTTTTATAGGAAAATTAAACAGATGTTTTTTTGTGTATTAAATAGAAAAAAAAGTATTGTTCTTGACTCACTGATTGTTATCGCTCATTAACCAGAGATTCTTGTGGAATGGAATATTTTGTGGGAGTGAGCGTTAAGCCTGGAGATGGTTGAGAAAGTTTGTTGTTGTATTGAAGATAAAGTTCGTCTCCTTTGCTGTGTTGATTTCCAATGAAGTCAAATGAATTGGTTTCAATATTTTAAGTGCCCACTGACCAAGTCGCGTCGAAGTTTCGTTTTTATTAGTTCTCTTGGTCACGTGGGGAGGCTCGTAAACATGTTTACATTTTATGGCGTCAACTAGAGGTCAAAATTTGGGTCGGTACCTTCGGACGTAGTTGACGCCACCTAATTAATATTTTACAACCAATCAAAATACATCAGTTGTTATATTTGGCTGGGAGCCTCTATGTGTTTAACTTGCACAAAATTTAAGATTTAAAAAAATGTAGGAATCTGATTCTACAACACCCAAACTTAACCCTTTGTTTACTGAAGTAAACCATTGCAAATTTTTTTTTTAACATCCAACATCTACAGTCTGAGAGATTAAATAATTTAGTTGAAAAGTTAATACAAAAAATAAAAAATTAAAGAAGTGTTAATAAAAAAAACATTACTTGTTAATGCATTGATGATAGAAATCACCAGATTTTGATTCAAAGAATTCACTCTGTCACATTTTCAACTTGTCGCGGCCGCCATTAGCCGATCCTTAGAAAGACGACCTTGACCTTCACAAACCCTGATCTCGCAGATTTAAGTCAAGCAACATGCTGGAAACCGGATGACTAGTCCAATATCGTTGATGCCAAACCGTACCTCGTGAGCATCGGATTATGCAGCGCTCTTTCAAACATCGCACAACCATTGATATTAATTTAATATCTACGGTTTTCTACTCCCTCTAGCCAGGGAGTACTTGAATAAATCGCTCCAAATATTGTTAGCCCCTTTTTTCGTCCAAATCCAAGCTGCTTCGGCCCGCCGTGAAGGGCAGGGCGGAGGTGTGTGCTACATACATTTTCCCTCTTGTCCTTTATCGATTGTTCGTACTTCCTCTCTGTGATGACCACAGGAAACCGCTCGAGCGCTCGCTAACTTCCATTCTATGGAGGAGACGCGGGAATCGGGTCGACAGAGAAGTCTGTGCACAACGTCCGTGTCATGGGGGCTGGGAATGCCACACTTGCTGAGCCACAAACGTGCCTCGAGGTTGGCTTTCCTACGCCGCGCATTGACAGGAGATTCGGTCATGGCGGGGATTGTTGGGACGCGTTCCCTACCCTTTACTATCAATCCCCCATCTCGCGGGCCGAGCGCCATTGTAGGCTCCGGGAGGAATCGAATTTCATTCGCGAGTGTCGGTTGGTCTTGGTGGCCGTCCCTCGGTCCAGTGACCTTTCTCGGCCTAGGAAGGACTTCTATCGTTTGTTAGTGGAGGGGGTCGCGAAGGATCCGCTACGCGAGGATCTCGACATGTCGGACGATGAGTTTCGCTCTCACTGGTCTTGGGCGCCAGCGGCGGATTACCTCAGTAACCCTGAGTTTTCGCTTACCTGGCGACTGGCTCGGAATCGGCTGCTTCTCAACGACAGAGCCTTCATATGGGGCTTGGCGGACTTGCCAGACTGTGATCGGTGTGGCCTTGGCCTAGAGGAAACGGCTTCGCACGCCTTCTACCATTGCCCCCCGGGTCCACCCCTTATGGGACCATGTCGGCGAGCTGACGGCTCGTCTCGCTCCCGAAAAGCTTGTGCCCATGGATCCCGCATACTCGTGTGACAATGTGTCGCCCCCGTATTCCGGGGTGAAACGGATGGTGTTTCTCACGCTTCTAGCCACGGCCCGAATGGTGATATGGACGGCGCGAGAGGAGCAAGTCTTGCGGGGTATCCGTCTTTCTCATCAGGATCTGATCCGATTCTTTGAGCATCAGCTCAAGATGAAGATCAGAACTGATAGAAAACGCTTGCATTCGACAGTCTTCAGCGAAAGGTGGGTGACTGAGGCGAGCTTGGTTCGTGTGAACGGGGCTATCCTTGATTTTCTATTTTAGGTCAAGCCTACGTTACATCGGGGTGGCTTCCTGTGGTGCCTCCCTTGGTTGGGTTAGACAACCTTTGGTGTACCTAGTTAATGCGAGTAAGTGTTTTTCCCGGCCTGCCCCCCGGCCACATCTTTAGTTATGATCCAGCCTGAGATTCCCAACCTCCCCAGTTTGTTTTTTGCCCCCCCCCCACACACACACTTTCTATCTCGACTGGGTCAGCTTTATACTTCCCCATGCCCGTATGATTTTTTATCACCTTTCCCACTCCCTTAGCGAGAGAGCTGCTTGATTTTGTTCCAATGGGCAGAATACAGTGGTCTCCCTGCATTTTGAGGGTTGGACGGGCCCTACTAACATCAGTTAACGTTTAATTTCATTTATGTTAATATTTTAGTTCGTTATTGGGTTCATCTCCCCCCACTCTCATTTTTTCATCTTAGAATTTTGTACATATGTGTTAGGATCATTAAATTATTATGACACGGGGCGCGTTTTGTAGGTTTCCCTAGAGTGGATGTGGTATTATGGTGCATGGAGGATTGATTGGTGACGGACGAGTTCTTATGGTGAATGAGTAAATTGTAATGTCTGAATGGGTCGTGAATCAAATTAGCTAGGTATAAGATAGTTAGTGAAGACCAGCCTTTTACCCCTCTCCCCCTTTTCGGCCTTGTGCCACAATTTTGCATTTTTACAAAATAAATCCCGGCTATGATCAAAGTGTAGTACGCTGCCTTTGTGAGCTTCCGAGTCGGCGTCTGTCGAACTCTCTGCATTAGACGAGGGCAAGGTTTCGTTCGGGGAGGTAGACAAGGCCTGAATCCGTCAAGGCGGGTTCAAAAAAGGCTATAGTTTTGGCCGAGCCTACGGGCTCGGGGATACCCACATTAAACCGGCCTTGTGCCACATTCTATCCTCGTGGGTGGATCGATAAATACTAAGCTGCTCGGCCCGGGGGCTTGGATCAAAGTGTAGTACGCTGCCTTTGTGAGCTTCCGGTGCTTTGTCGAGAGTGTTACTCTTCGGCGCGATCCCGTCTCCGCGGTCGATCCTCCCTGGAAGACGTATCACCTCTCTGACCAGCTTCACCAAGTGTTACACTTTGGCGCGATCCCGTCTCCGCGGTCGATCCGCCCTGGAAAACGTATCACCTCTCTGACCAGCTTCGCCAAGTGATACACTTTGGGACATCGATCAACCTGCTGCTGTTCCAGTCTATTCTCCCATCTGGCAGTCGACCAGCTACGTTCGCCGATCAACTCTATACGACCGAAAGCAGCTACCGCTAAACAAGAACCAGTCATACCGGACCCGACACCGATTTAAACGTATTTCTTCAGAGTACACTCTTGTACAATTGGCATTAATAAAATCGACGTTATTGTTCCATAAACCTTTGCCTTTGTCCCCTCATTGTCTTGGCTGTTCACACGTTTCTTCATAAAGCTTGCGGTGGCGACATCCTATTCGGCCCCGCAACAAACTCAACATCGTTGTTGAACGAAATTCCTTACAGACTTTTGGAAAGTGACCAAAAAAGGTGATAATCTAAAGTCACTAAATCAGAAGAATACAATGAGTGCAGTAGAACTTCTCGACTAAGCTCTTTAATAGCATTTTTGGTAAAATTAACAATGTGAGAGCAAAAGTGTTGCTTCGTGAAGTAGGTCTCGAAAATGTTAATATTTGTTTACTTGGCACTCCATCATCTTATATTTGGAATTTAAAAGCCACACTACCGGGCGGCATTTAAGCTAACCCCTGCAGAGGGCTCTTGATTGGACTTTCATCACTATCGGTAGGGAGGAGTAGATACAATAAACTACAGAAGAACTCAAAATTGATCGCTGCATGTAAGTATTGCTGCATTGCATTAATATTTAAGCTTACACTTTAAAAAGTTCAACAATAATTCTTCTGTCGCCACTTAATTTAAAGACAATTAGATGTACGTAGGTCCTTACTTTCCGTAAAAACAACTATTTCTGTTTCGTGGGTGACTTTCGCTAGATTTCGCAATTAATTTCGATTACTTAATTTAACTTCGATTATTCCCAAATTTATATAAGTTATAAAAATTATTATCGTACAAAATTTCGTCGCAAAAAATGACGTATAAAATCACCGAAAGCAATCGCAATAATGAAAACTTCGGAATAAAAAATTTCAGGATTGCTTGTCCTGATCCGGCCCAGAATGTTTATAATTTGCTCACGGTGTCGCCCTGATTCTAAAATGGTATAATATGTTGGGCTACGGCCTCTAGGATTAAAGTTGAAAAAGTGTGACACATTCGCATTTATTATATAGAAGAGAAATAATTCAAATTTCAAAATTGATAAAAGTTGTAGAGGAAGAAAAGAGCTACAAAAATCATAAAACAATACGATAAAAATATTTCAAATAACATGAGAAAAAAATGAAGGAATTTATCTGACAACCATTTGTTAGACATTTTCATGACGGTCGTCCTCGAGTATAGAATCCAGAGGTTGGCAGTGAATATTTCGGAGACAGTAGGAAAGCGTACTTTAGGTTCGCAGTGGATATCACAGCAGAGTGTAGTTCATCCTTCTCCTGGTCGCCTTTGGTCCTTCCGGTAGAGGAAACAAGATGGCCGCCTTTATACACGACGAATACAGTGTTGTGCGGCTTCCGATTAGTCAACCTTCTATTGGTCGACTATAAAGAGAAATAAGTCCTCTTGACTCGCTCACTAGTTCCGTGTGGTATATTAGCCTCTGTCGTGGTTTTTGTATATTTGTGCATATTAATTGGACGTCAGTTGACGCTTTTGCCAATGTCAAGGAAAAAAGTAAGTCAGATTTTGTTCGTTGATTCTCTGTATTTGTTTAAAAAATAAACTGTTCGTGGAAAAGAAGAAGAAGTTGCAGGAGCAACAACAAGAGAAGCAACTTCAACAGCCGGAGCATCAGCAACCTCAACAGGGGGAACAACAGCAACGACAGGAACAAGATCAACAAGAGATGGAGGTGGAACAGATGCCTCCGCCTAGTGTCCCCCTCATCTAACAAAATGAGGAGGAAAAGAAGTGACATCAAGTCAGCGTAGCGAGGAGGATGGACACTCAGACACTTCTGGGGTCCCAACCCTTCCCGGAAACCCCGAAGCAGGCAGAATCCCAATTAAGGAGTCGCTCCTCTTCCCCCTCCCCGTCAAACTCCTCCTTAGGTTCCACCCCACCGGGCACTTCCACCCCACTGCCCACACCTACCCCTTCCTCACCCCTCCCAGATAAAAGAAAAAAGAAAAAGAAGAGGTTTTTCCCGGGTCCTGACCTAATCTGTAAGGTGGACAGGAAAGAACTAGAGAGGGACATGTCCTCTCATAGAAAAGCAAGACTGGATCCACTCTTCAAAATCTCTACGGTGGAGGGCAAATCAACCCGAATTTCCCGAAGGCCCCTGGTATCACTACTTGTGTTAGGAACACGGGGGGAAATTTAAAAGTGTGGTACTTCCTAGAGGAATGTAGGGAGGTGTTCTCTGACATAAGGATCATGGAGACAGGAACTCCAGAACTGAAAAAAATGGCACATTTTTGTGCATGGAGGGTCCCCGTTTTGCTCCATCCCTCTGTATATAGGGCAGCGAAATTAACCTTCCCTATGGACGTTGGCGGCATTGTCTCAGACGGTCGGATGACGACCGAGTTAGGCACTGGTAGCCTGGGACATTCCGTCGGGGTCCTTTCACCCTCAGATTTCCGCTCCGTATGTGAGTAGGTTTTTGCTGTTTTATTTCTTTGCAGACTTAGAAAATGATAGCGACTCTGAATGTGAGGGGCTTAAGGGATCGGGGTAAGGCAGCCCGCCTGCTCCGGGACCTTCTGGCCCTGGATGTGGATGTCGCCGCGATCGAAGAGACTCACTTTGTTTGCAGTGCCGATGCGTGCGTGCTGGAGGATGACTTTGTTGTCTATTCAGCATATGGGGACCGGTTTGCCAGAGGGTTTCTTTGCTTGTCAGACGGACTCTTGATGCGAAGGTGGACCTTGTGCATACCGATGCCGAGGGCCGGTTGATCGTGGCCGATATTGCCGTGAAAAGTGGTTCGTTCCGAGTCGTTGCGGTTTATGCGCCCAATGACCAGGAGGAGCGGGTTTTGTTTTTTCGGCAGTTGGGGCCGTTCCTGGTTGATTCGACGCGCCTATTTTAATGGGGACTGGAATGCCATTCTGGACTCCAAGTTAGACAGGGGGCGGGGTGCTAGTGGGAGAAGGGACGATCGTAGCCTGGTTGATCTGATCGACGATTATGGTCTCGTCGATAGATACCGGGTCGATCATCCCGGGGGGAAAATGTGGACATGGGCTCTTAGTTGGCCTTCTGACAAGGTGGTTAGCTACCTTGACAGAATGTTAGTGAGAAGAGCCGACATAGATCTACTGGATTGCCCTACGTTCCACTGGGTAGGCTACGCGGACCACAAACTCGTTTGTGCCCGGGTGGCGTTAGATCATAGGCCTAGAATGGCTGGGTACTGGAAGTTCAATCTGTCTTTACTGGTCAGGCGGGACTTCCAGGAACAGCTAACGAGATTAGTGCAGCGGGAGCTAGTGGGTGCGGTTATCGGGAATAAGTGGTGGGAACGCCTTAAGTTCAGGATTAGGTCTTTCACCACTGATTTCAGCAAACGGCTCGCTCTAGATAGAGCTGAAAAGGTGAAGACACTTAAAGCTAGTTACACCCGGGCGGTGGCTGGGGAGGGATCCCCAGAGATAGCCTTAGCTATGGCGGCCCTGGATCGTTTGAATAGCGAGCGGTACATGGGCCAGGTAATTAGACATAAGTTAAGTAAGATGTCTTCCGAAGCCGTGAACTTGGGCGCAGATCTGCGCAGGGAAGAGGTCCGTCGAGGTGGCGATCGTTACATTCGTGAAGTCGAGGCCCCAGAGGGGCATACTCTTCGGGCCACTGACGACATGTGCGAGGCGTTTCGGCGCCATTTCGAGAGCCGGTTTACCAAGGAGCCTGGTCTCCGTGAGGAGGAGTTTCGCAGCTATTTGGCTGACTTTCCTCGGCTTTCGCCGATTGAAGCGGCTAGCTGCGAGGGAGAGATCACGGAGGACGAAGTCTACGTGGTTTTGAAGAAGGTCGGCAGAGGCAAGTCGCCCGGTCTGGATGGTTTGCCCTATGAATTGTACTTGAGGCTGTCGCACATCTTTGTTCCGATTTTGACAGCAGTGTTCAACAACTGGTTTCGGTCAGGGGTCCATCCCCAATCGGATCACCAGGGGCGTGATCACTCTGTTGAAAAAGGGCAAAGGTGGTGGGGAAGCTAGATGATTACAGGCCCATAACTGACTGCAAACGCTCCTGCAGGATCTTGGAGTTAAAGATTATGGCCAAGATCCTGCAGGAGCGTTTGCAGTCAGTTGCCGAGTCTCTGTTGGGACCTGAGCAGACTTGTTCTGTGAGGGGCTGAACAATTCAGAGCAACCTGCATCTGATCCGCACGATCATAGAGGGTGTAAAAGACGACGAAGAAGCCGCGCTGATCAATTTGGATCAGTCCAAGGCATTTGATAGGGTTGACCATCGCTACCTTGCTGCAGTCCTGCAGGCCGCTGGATTCGCACCCAACTTCTGCCGCTGGATTAGCCTTCTGTATCGCTCCCCCAGTGCTGTGGTACAGGTGAACGGAAGGTTGTCGGACGCGTTCGTGCTGTCTAGGTCGGTTCGTCAGGGTTGTCCGCTGTCGCCTCTCCTTTATGCTTTGGCGTTGGAGCCTCTCCTTCGCCGGCTGAAGGACGATACCGGCTCTACGTGGAATTGCCGTGCCTGGAGGGTCTCGGGCCAGGGTTTCCGCGTACGCCGATGACGTATCTGCTTTCGTGTCGTCCCGCGGCGACATTGAGGCGGTACAGAAGGCGCTTGATCGGTACGAGAAGGTGACAGGGCCAAGATAAACCGCGACAAGTCGTCCGGCTTGCGGTTAGGTGCCTGGAAGGGGGTCGCTCTTCCGGGCCGCTTTGGTTGGACGGACGGTCCTGTCCGCATTCTTGGAGTGTGGTTTGGGCCTGACCTCCAGCTGGAGAAGAATTGGTCTGAAGTACGTGCAAAGGTCGATTCTGCCGGTCAGACTTGGAATCGACGGCGGTTGTCCGTGAAGGGCAGGGCGGAGGTGTGTGTTACATACATTTTCCCCCTGATTCTTTATCGATTGTCCGTACTTCCTCTCTGTAAAGACCGTAGGAAGGCGCTCGAGCGATCGCTATCCTCCATATTATGGAGGGGATGCGTGAACAGAATCAACAGACGAGTCTGCACCAAACGTCCGTGTCATGGGGGGCTGGGAATGCCGCACCTTCTGAGTCACATCCGTGCCTCTAGGTTGGCTTTCCTACGCCGCGCATTGACTAGAGGAGATCCGATTCTGGAGGGGATTGTTAGGGACGCCTTTCCTAGCCTTACCACCAGTCCCCCCTTCTCGCGGGTTGAGCGCCGTTGTAAACCCCGGGATGAGTCGGATTTCCTCCGCGAGTGTCGGTTGGCCTTGAAGGCCATTCCCCGGTCCAGTGACCTTTCACGGCCTAGGAAGGTCTTCTATCGTGGTTTAGTGGAGGCTCGCGCGAAGGATTCGCTACGTGATACGTTCGGCTTGTCGGAGGAGGAGTACCGCTCCTATTGGTCTTGGGCGCCAGCGGCGGATTACCTCAGTAACCCTGAGTTTTCGCTTACCTGGCGATTGGCTCGGAATCTGCTGCCTCTCAATGACAAGGCTTTCATATGGGGTTTGGCGGATTTGCCAGACTGTGAACGGTGTGGTCTTGGTTTAGAAGAAACGGCTTCGCACGCCTTCTACCATTGCCCCCGGGTTCGCCCCTTATGGGACCATGTCGGCGAGCTGACGGCTCGTCTCGCTCCCGAACAGCTTGTGTCCATTGATCGCGCATACGCGTGTGACAATGTGTCACCCCCGTATGGTGTTTCTGATGCTGATGGCTCGAATGGTGATTTGGACGACGCGCATGGAGGAAGTCTTGCGGGGCAATCATCTTTCTTAGCATCTAATCCAATTCTTTGAGTATCAGCTCAAGATGAAGATTAGATCTGATAGAAAACGATTGCATTCGACAGTCTTTAGCGAAAGGTGGGTAAAAGAGACGAGCTTGGTTCGTGTGACCGGGGCTAGCCTTGATTTTCTTTTCTAGGTCAACCTATGGCACATTGGGGTGGCTTCCTGTGGAACCCTCCCCTTGGTTAGGTTAGACAAGCTTAAGTGTACCTAGTTAATGTGAGTAAGTGTTGTTCCTGGCCTGTATCCCGGCTGCTCTTTGGTTATGGTCCAAATCGAGATTCCCAACCTCCCCAGTTTGTTTTGGCCCCCTTTTATCTCGACTGGGTCAGCTTTACATTTTCCCATGCCCGTATAATATTTTATCCTTTTTCCCACTCCCTTAGCGAGAGCGCTTCTTGATTCTGCCCCTTGGGCAGAATACAGCGGCCTCTCTGTTTTGATGGTTGGACGGACCTTACTAACATATGTTATGTTTAGTTTGCATTTTGTGTTTATTTTTAGTTATTATTGGGTTCATCTCCCTCCCCTTGCATTCTATCATTATTAGAATTTTAGGTATAGCATTTTATGTATCATTAAATTTTTATGGATTGGGGCGCGTTTTGGTAGGATCCCCTGGAGAGGATGTGGTATTATGGTGGTTGGAGGATTGAACGGTGATGGATGAGTTCTTGTGGTGAATGAGTAAATTGTAATGTATGAATGGGTCGTGAATCAGATTAGCTAGGTATAAGATAGTTAGTGTTGACCAGCCTCTACCCCTCCCCTTTTTTTGGCCTTGTGCCGCAATTCTGTAACCTTACAGAATAAATATCCTAGTTACGTGTGGTATATACCCAAAAAACCGTAACACCATTACCATATATATAATATATAATGGCTGGTTGTTTGTATGCAAGTATTGTCTGTCTGCTAGGGCGACTAGCCAATTCCTATGTCGTGCGGACTTTAATTTCTTTTTCTGGAAGAGAACGCATCGTTTGGTATGATCAACAGTTTGAACAAGGCTTGTATACTTAAAACCTCGGTCACAGTTACTTGCGACTTTGTGCTTAGCTCAAGCATCAGCGAAGAATTCACTCTACTCAGAAAGCATGGGTCAACCTGTGGTATGGATTTCAGGTACTTTTCACATGTGGCATATGCTGGGAATTTCACAAAGTTTCACAGCTATTTAGCTGACTTTTATCGATTGAAGCAACTGACTGTAATGGTGAGATCACAGAGGGCAAAGTCTATAAGGAATTCAAAGAGGGTTGGCAGTGGCAAGTCTCCGGGACTTGATGGTCTGCCCTACAAAGTGTATTTGAGTGTTTGTAGTCAGTTGCTGAGATTCTGTTGAGACCAAAGTAGACTTGTGCTGTGAAGGAGCGAACAATTCAGAGAAAACTGCATCTGATACGCACAATTGTAGAGGACGTAGAAAATGACGAACAGATGCGCTGATCAATTTGGATCTGTTCAAGGCATTCGACAGGTTGCCGGATTTCAAGCAGTCGGGCGCTTTTGCGCTGTCACGGTTGGTTCGTCAGGGTCGTCCGCTGTCGTCCCTACTTTACGATTTGGTGCTGGAGCCTCTCCTGCACCAGGGCGTGTAGTTGTTGTGACGAAGTAAAATGATTCCTAATGCTTCCTTTTCTATTTGTGAGTAACCTCTTTCAGCTGGTAATAGCGTCCTAGATGCACGGGCGATTGGCTTTACCGATCCATCCTTTAACTTGTGTAAAATGCACGCTCCGATGCCGTAAGAGCTAGAGTTAAGAAGTTTGGATCGTAATGAGTCAGGAACAGATCTGATGTAAGGACCTCCTTTATTTTCTCAAATGCTTCCTTGCATTTGGTTGTCCACTCCCACTTTTTATCGTTTCTCAATTAAGTGGAGCTCACAAACTGGGACAAAAACGTTGTAATAATTGGCAAAACCTAAAAAAACTTTGAAGAGCCGACACATTTTCTGGTGCTGGCATATTCTTTATTGCCGTTTCCCTATCTGGGTCGGGACGTCTTTCGTCTTTGTCAATTATTTGCTCTAAGTACTTAATCCTCTCTAAGAAAAACTCACACATCCCGTCTTTTAATTTGAATACGTAATCCTGGATTGTCATGAACACCTGTCAGACGTCATCGAGATAGGCACCGCAAAATCCAGACCCTCTAATATCGTGCCCATGACCTGTTGAAAAATGGAAGGGGCGATCTTAACCCTGAACGGAAGTCTTAAAAATTTGTATAAACCCTTGTGGGCGTTTATGCAAAGGAGTTTCGAACATTCCTCGTCCACGGGTATTTGTAGATATACGTCGCTTAAGTCAATCTTAGAAAAATATTTTCCTCCACTGAGCTTAGCGAATATCTCCTCTGTACTTGGAAGAGGATAATGGTGATCCTTTAGGGCGCTGTTCAGCCCCGTAGAAAAGTCAGCACATACACGAATTTCTTTGCTCTTTTTTTAATATAAACTGAGGGAGATGCCCATTCACTATATTCAGCCTTTGCCAGAACTCCCATTTCCTCAAGTCAATTCAACTCCTTGTCAATTTGATTTAACGAGGCAATGAAAGGTTACGTTTTTTCTTAAAAACTGGGTTTACGTCTAGCTTTAAATCAAATTTAGTAGACATCTTTGTGCATTTTCCTCGTCCTCCACTAAAAACGTCGGGAAATTTTTTTTTAAGTTCACCTTTCAACTTTTCTGCTTCGTTAGTCAAATTTTCGGCTTTTTGACATAATGAGTTAATAGGCATATTCCAAAGTTGAAACTGTTCTAACAAATCAGTCCCGAACAAATTACCCCTCTTCTTCATAATATTACGCCTTTAGTTTTAAAGTTTTAACTTTGGATGACACGTTCGTTATAAGTTTGCCCATAAACTTAATAACACTTTTAGCTCTTCGGTTTGTTCTTAAAGTCGCTGGTTTTCTATGGCAAAATATAGTTAATACACTTAATATATTCTACTGTGGCTAATTTCCTGAGGAGTAGACGAACCTTTTTATGACCAGCCCAATTTTCACAATCCGTATTGTATAAGTCCTCATAACGTTTAAAGTACGAAGTGAATGTAATTTCTTCTTCAGGTGCAAACGTGAAGTTTTCAATAGCACTCCATATAGCATTTTAAGAGAACGGGTTATCGCTGTGCTGATTTTATTTTTTTATGGACATATACAAGTGCCTTTGCTCATTCTCTGTTTGAAGGAGAATTTCTTCCAGTTTCTATTGTCTTACCTAGATGAATTTCCCTAGATGCTTGTTCTCGTAAAAATTTCTCTATTCTTTCTTGTTTTTGTTCCAACAGAATTTCCTGTTTCTGTCTTTCTTGATATTTCTGTTCCAATAGTACTTGTTCCTGTTTCAACAAGTCTAGCATTACATTTTTAAATTCGTCCATTTTACTGCGTAAAATTAAGAAATGAGAGGGGGTGAATTTTTTTTCACTTTACCCTCTTAAATAAGTCTGCTTGACTTATACAGTTCTTTTACTGAAAAATTTAAAAGCGGGAGAGGGGATCAATTTTTTTACTTTACTTATCACGATTCCCAATCATCCCAGTTTTTATCATCGCTTTTTATCATAATTGGAACAGCCATACATATATATCCTTATTCCCAAATTGATTTGTCCCTCCCTCGCCACTAGCTTCTTGCTTGTTCTTATCGGCAGAATACAGAGGCTGCTCTCACTTTTGTGCGTTGAACGGGCCATACTAACACGGTTTTTATTTTTGTTTGAATTTTTTGTTTCTTTTATTTTGATTACTGGGTTCATCCCACCCCGCTTTATTTCATATGTAAATTGTTTTATATTTTTGTAATAAAATTTTTTAAAAAAAGGAAAAATATTTGTACATATGAAGAAATTTTTGACACTATGGATGTTTTATTAGGATCCCCACGAAGATATGGTATCATGGTACATATTAGATTTGATGGAGAAGGATGGGGTTCTTGTGGTGATTTCCCTATCATTTCCCTAAA